ATTTTGAAAGGAGGTATAGTCTACAAGGTGGAGGTGAGAAGAAAGTGCTATCTGGTCGTGGGAGACCACTTGGGCAGGGGTGCAGAGGCAGTAAAGGGAAAACAACCAGCCAGCCAGCTTGACCAATGTCAATTTCATGTACGAGTGGTTGTTGGGAATAATCCATAGACTACTTAAGCCCAGCCTGGCATTTACCATTGGCCTTTGGGTCCCACACCATTCTGATTCTTCTGAGCTCATGATTCTCAAGATATGCAGGCAGGCAGCATCCCCAGGAGAAGAGTGGTATTTAAAAAGATGAGTTGTGGTTGCTTGGGATAGCAGAAAGAAAACTCACTAAAATTGCCCTGGTTTCCCTCAATATTTAAGGGTCTCAAGAATGTCAGGAGTGCAAAGTCCAATTAACTAAAATAGAACAAATCTACAAACACTTGCACAGAAATGACTCGAAACATTTTCTTTGATTTTTTTTTATAGCCGACTTACCTCTTCATTTATTCAAACATCAAACTAACATCAACTAAAGGTGAGTAAGACAAGTAATTTGCTTCAGAGTAAATTAGGAAAGGGTTTTTTCTCCTAGACCACTGGGGTAAGGAGGCAGAGACCTCAGTAGAAAGGATCTTGTACCCCCAGAGACGGTACAAGCTGAGCTGACATGCAGATGGACATTCTTGCCACCCCCTTATCAAGATCATTCCCTTTCATTATTTTTCCATTTCTGTTCAAATTGGGCCTCAGGTCTCAAGAGCTCTTCTTCTGCTCTCTAGGCTATATTTATCACGTGACATAATGTATTATAGTTATCTATGATTATGTTTTCTCCACTTACTAAACTGCAAGAACCTTGAGGGACAGTTTTATTTAAACATTGTTATTTCCCACAGTGTTCATTATACAGTAGCAGGAGACTATCTGTTGAATGTAGAACAAATGAATTCAAGTTATTTCATGCCTCTCCCAAGACATTGATGTCCATTCCACCTTTAATCCAATTAAGTTCCAAAATCAATCAACACATATTCATTAAGCACCTAGCATGTGCCAGGCACCGTGCTGGGCACTGGGCACTGTACAAACACAAATGAAGCAGCCCCTTCTGTCAAGGAGCTCATAGTCAACATTTGCTGCATGCCGGGTACCAAACATCCCACTTTGCCCTACCACCTCCAAGCTCGAAGGCTTACTCAGCCAGACAAGAAGTCTCTCATCTCCAGCTTCTCCACTACCTTTCTCTCTCTTACTTCCATCAAGCTTCCTAAACACTAAGTACACAAGCTCGGGTATACTGACCAACAGTTTTATCTCAGACTAGAAACTTTAAGAACTAAAACGACATTTAAAGGGAAGGGGAGAGCAGACAGGAAGAGAATGGATAAATGCTAGGGAGACAAATAATGGAGAGAAGAGAGGAGAAAGGAATTCCCCATCTTCTTCCCTGCTCACTCTGGGTAAGCTATGGAAGCAAATCTCAGCAAACAGTCCGCCTGCCATGATCCCTTCTTAGGTCTTGCGGAATATCTCCTAAGCCACCCCAGATCACCTCCTCATGTTCTCTCCTTCCCACTTCATCCTTTCTTCTCTTGCTTCCCCATCATCTACCCACATATTATTTTCTCAGGGGTGTGAGGGGGTAGCCTGGGAGTCAAGATCATCCTATGCCTCCAATAATAATAATTTAATAATTAATACAATACATATCCACTCCAATAATCCAATCCCTTGAACATTTACTGAGCACCTTCTGCGTGCTAAGCACTGAGGATATTACTAATAAAAAGAAAGTCCCTCTTCTCAAGGAGCTTACAACCTAAAGGGGAGATAACACACAAAAAGCAGGGAGATGGGACAGGGAGAGACCAGAAACCAGGCAGAGCGGCAGATGCAGAGGGGAGCGAGCCAAAATGTCCACTTTCTGCCCTCTATAAGGGAAGGCATGGGGGCGGGGAGGGGGGGAGTTTCATAACCTTCTAGCCCTCCAAACAGAGCAGAGAGTAGGCTGAGGGAGGTAGTGTCAGGAAGACTTGAATTAGCAGGGTTAAGAGTGGAATTGCACAAAGAGGTAAACTGAGGTTTTGAGCAAGATATTTATTCATAGTGTGCTGAGCTATTTATAAAAGGATCTCTGGTCTGCCTCCATTTGTGCCAAAAGACCTAGAGGGAGGCCCAACAGGGCTTTTTAAACCTGGGTGTGTCTTCCTTTGGATTGGTCTGACAATCCATCGTTTGGTCTTCCCCAAGGCAATCCCGATTGGTGAGCATTTTAATGAGGAGGTGGGTCAATAGTTCTCAGCTCCTCCCTGTTACTCCATTGTAGGGGGTAGAGCGCAGGGCTAATCCTTAGGTGAAAGGATTAGTAGGTAGCTAGGGAAAGTGGGCTGGCCTTCACAGGTGGCTGATTACTCCCCTCCCTGACTCTTTAGGAATGCTAACTGCTTTATGAGACCCAGCTGCCTCTAGCAATCTTGGCAAGAAAGATAAAAGCCATCTCAGGTTCTTTCCTGATTTGGTCTCCCCCTTGTAGACCAGGTCACCCCTCATTTTGATGAGGTAAAGCAAGGACATTAAGAGTCATCACTGGGAAGGGTCTGGACAAGGCTGGTTAATGAGCAGATGCTTTTGGGGCTGGGAGCGATCACCTTACTCCATCACACCCTTCAGAAACTGCCTGCCCTTCCAAAGTGGGGGGGGGGGGGGCCTGTCAAAGTGAGGGAAAGGAGGGGTCGTGGGGAAATTATTAAATAATACAGCACAATATTACTTTTCCAAAGTAGCAGGTGATGAGATTAGAGGTAATGAGCTTAACCTGGGAAGGACATCTTGTTCTGTGCTATCAAAACTAGGCAGAGCAGCAGATGGAGAGGGATGTTTGTAAGAATGTTGATAATAATAATAATGATACCAATAATAGTGCTTATATTTATATGAGGTTTGCAATGTGCTTTACACAGATTATCTCAGTTGAGCCTCCAAACAAGCCTATGAAGTAGCTACTGTGATCCTCATTTTACAGATAAGGAAACTGAGGCACAGAGAGGTGATATGACCAGGTTCATATCACTATTAGGTGTCTCAAGTAAGATTTAACTCAGATCTTCTCAATGCTCTCCCCCCAGGACTTTCTGCCCCTCTTGGGCTATGGCTTCTAAGCTGGCGCTCAACTCATTAAAAAAAAATTCCCCTTCTCCAGCCCCATTCTATGTGGGTCCACAAGGGTCCTGTCCTTCAGACCCACTAATGCTCCCTCCTCCTGACCCCTCCCCACCCTTTGCCTCTTCCTGGGGTTCACACATTATAACTCTACCTGGATGGGGCAAACTTTGCTTTACATGCTCCTCTCCTCCCACTCCCGCCCCCACCCTCCAAACTGAATTTTCTCTGGGCAGCAGAATTCTTCCTTTCATCTCTGGGCTTCAGTGAATGAAATGGATAAGCGAGTGTATCATAGTTTGGGCAGCTTAGGTATTGAGCCCTGAATGGAAAGGGACTCATGTATTCCCATCACATAATAGAGTGCCTGGCACAAAGCAGGTCCTTCACGTTTATTAAATCTAAATTGTCTGCAGAGTCTGGGCCCTTGTGTTCTCCATATGAAGTGATACATGCCACCAGGCAGGCACTGATGGGCTCAGAAGGGCTTTTGGTCACATTCAGTCAGATATGGGATCTGAATTGGGTGTTCTGACTTCTATTAGCTCTGTTATGGGGACAGAGTGAGTGGGTAAAGAAGAGATGAGGTGACCTGGAGTGGCATGGGGGAGGGGGAGGGAGGTGTTGTCTGTGAGTGACGTATGGGCTGATGTATGCCACCATCTTCTACCCTCCTTGTGATCATGTTTGATAGTTGATGCCTTGTTATTTGAATAGTGTCTGATACCTCCGCCAAGTTCCCAAATAGGTCACAGAGATTAAAAAGGTCATTTTCTATCGTAGACAAGGCGAGATTGGTCCTATGATAAGGTCCCCAAGGCATCATGTGGACCAGACTGGAAAAGTGGATTTCTGTTCATTTAATGGGGATCAGCCTTCCCCTTTTCCAAACTGATTCCTTGCTGGCAGCTTCTCCCATAAATAAGCATTGTCTCCATTGGAGGTAGGTAGGAGGTGTTCTTCATCAAGCTTGACTAGAAGGCTTGGACAAGGCTTCTGAAGATAGATGAGGCCTCTGACCTTGATCTGTCTCCCTTAGCCCCTGAGGACTGGAGACAAAGGAACAGCCTCTGGACTGCCCCGGGCCTTCCCCCACCCCCACTCCAATACACTCTTCTCCTGCACGCCGCTTTGTCACCAGATTGGGTCTCTTCATACATGGTTCCCATACCCTTTCCTTCCCCCTACTTCCTCCTTCTCCTTCTCCTTTGTTCCCATTCTTTCTTTCCCCCAGGGCTGAGGAGAGGCTTGGACCTGCTCTCAGAGTTGGGAAATCCACGAGTCCTACTAACCAGAAAGGCTCTGGATACAGGGCAGGAATACATTTTAATCAATTGTAATCCTTCTTGTAGAAATGAGTATGCTTTCTCTCTTTAAAGTTGTTGGTAACTTTCATCATGTAGGAGTCGTTTTTGATAAACAGCATATTCCTTACTGAACCAAGAATTCCACTGTAGAATACATACTGATGAGACTCGCAAAATAACTCTTTCTAAAGAAAAACTTTAGTTATTTGAGGGGTTCTGTTTTGCCGGTGCACTAAGACCAAACCCAAAAGATTCCAGGTATCCTGGTATCCCTATAGACTTGCAACAGACACCAGAGATGACAAAAGCAGAAGGCTTTTCCCTCTTCCCTCAGGCCTTACTAACAGCATAGCTAACTGTATGTCACAAGGTCAGTAACAGATCGCCATCCCTGAATCTTCCAAGCCATTCCCTATTCTTTTGGCCATAACGATGGCAGAGGCCACAGGACTCCAGCAGTGAGCAGTTGTAAAAGCTGACCAACCTCATACTTCTTTCATTGATCACAATGCAGAATTTATTGATGAGTTTTCCCAATGAATTTATTTCTATTTATCAATGTATCTTACTCAAATAATTTGGGTTATAGTGCAGAAATACATAATTAAGGAATTTCTCTTTACCTAAATATCGTTTTTAAAAATCTACAGATGAAGACAGCGTTATTGTGATAAATGGGGGGAGGAAGTCCCATTCCCCAGTACAATCATTTCTGTGAACATTTTGCTATTTAAAGAAACTTAGACACCAAAACTATTATTATGAAACAAAGCCTCTACCATGTCCACATTCCAGTCCAAAGTTTGTGTTTTAAAAGTGGTGCTAAATGAAAGGGAACCCCTTTTATCATAGCCTTACATAAAAGGATGAGAAAACTCTCCTGAGGTGAGGAGTTTAATGGAAAATATGCAACACTTCCCAGCAGTTTCTCTTTGGAGCTGTCTCAACTCTCATATAAAATGAGTGTTCCACCTGTCACGGTGATGTTTGGGAAAGAGTGGAAAGAACAGGCCTCTTGCTCTTGACTTAGCCGTGTATGATGCCTGGTAAGTGCTCGTGTTATCTTCTGGGGTGGGGATGTAGTCACTTGTCCGATGATTGAAGTTGGCAGAATGGAAGTGCATTTGTACCTGCTCCAGCTTCTTACGCCCTAGACTCTGGTGAAGAAGAAGATGGGTAAGAAACAAGGTCAAGATCATGACGGTTTCTCTTCTACTCAAGCTGCCTGTCTCGAAGCCTCTCTGATTTCTGCCTGGCTTCCAGCCTCCTGCTTACACCCAAGACAGCTTTTCGGTAGGGCTCTTCTATCCCACTTGTGGTTGCGTATAGAAAAGACCATAGAATTTAAAGCCAGAAGGGGCTTTGGTGATTATGATTAGTACAACCCCTTCATTTTACAGAAAAGAAAACAGGCTAAGAAAGTTCGATCCCCACACCCACAGTCACACAGGTAAGAAGCATCAGATCCAGGATTTGAACTCAAGTCTTACACTGAAAAGCCATAATGCTTTCTCTAATTTATATTACTTATTGCCAAAGGGAGAATTTCAGGGACTACCAGGTTCTCCCAAGGAAACCAAGCAAGCATGAAAGGACAAACACAGAATATCTCCCTGTCCTTTTGGGGGTGTCCTGCCTATGTAAACAAGGATTAGATTTTTATTCAGATCTCAATCAGCCATGTTCAGGTGGAAACCACCTTAGCCTGGTGATCTAGGAAGTAAGAAAAAGAGGCAACAGGTAGATGCAGGAAAGGGGCCATTGGGCCAAAGTCCCAACATCCACCTTCTGACAGAACATTGTAGAAGCATCTTACAAAGGCTGCAGGATGAGAGCGCTGGAAGGGACAGCCTTAGCAAGGTGACTAGGAATGCTCAAGACTGCAGGCTTTTCTGAGCTCTTTGTGACACAGGCTGTTTTGATTTCCAGCTCGTGCCACCTTTCAGGCGTTCCATTCACGCAGGGGGAGCGGGGCTCAGTGCTGTCTCCCTAGGGCACGAAAGCAAAGAATACTCACCTCGTCCAGACCGTGGCCACAGAATTCCAAGTCACGCCTGTTATCGTGCACTGAAAACGGGAAGTTGTTTTTGTTGGCTTGCTGGAAAACAGAGGGATGAGAAAGAGAAAGGGATGTGTGAGACAGAATTCTGGCGGGATTGGCCATTCTAATGACGTAAAAGGAAGGCTGAGGAACCAATGGGAGAAATGAGGAAAGATTAGAACCGGGAAGAGCAAGGCAAGAGTAGGCTTGAGTTGGGCACAGGACTTCAAAACACAGACTCATTTTTTTCACTGCCAACTTTTCAGACATTGGGGAAATCCTCCCTCAACTGGCTCACTTGGAGGGAATGGAAGGAACATCTCTTCCAAACTCGCTAAGCAATGCACAAAGTATGCAATTATAACTAATCCCATCTCTGATGCTTACTAACTAAGTGATCTTGGGCAAATCACCACACCTCCTGGGCATCAGTTTCCCCATCTGTAGAATGGAGGGATTCGACTAGATGACCTTTGAGGTCCCTTTCAGAGTTAGGATGCTACAGTCCTATGATCTCGCATAGTTCATTCAAATGCGGGTAGCCCTTTTCACATAGTGGCTCACTGTTATGCAGTGAGGGAGCTAGAGGTGTCGACATTCCATTTCACAGATGAGGAAGCCAAAGCCAGAGTAGAGGAAGTGGTTGGCCTCCAGGTACAGTGTTGGGACCGGGAGTTGAGTCCAGGAGCTTGGCATTACCTGGCCCAACCTCAGGCTCCCACATCTGTAGTTCCAGCTGCCCAGGTAACTCACCTGCTGGCGGAGCTGGTAGCGTGAAGGCAGCCCCTCCTCCATCTTCCTCTTACTTTCTGGAAGGAAAGGCTGCTTCAACATGGTGGTGGTGGTGGACTCTGGGGTTTTTTCAATCCGGCTGAGGTGAGGAAACTGGAAAACATGAGAGGTCTGGATCAGAACCAGCCCAATCGGACTCTATGGACCCAGCATCAGGCTTCCTCTGGGAAGTGACTGTAAGAAAGGTTTTAGGGTGTTGGGCTTCCACAGCAGGATAAGGAATTCCAAGATCTTGTGGATAGTCCTTCAACCAATCAGAAAGTGTACCAAACATTCTGCAAATAACTAGTTCCTTAAGAAAGAGCCCTGGAGGCTAACACGGTTGCAGCCAGTTGGGTTCAAGGATGACCTCGACAAGGAAAAGGCTTTTCTCCACTGAGCTAGCTTAATAAGCTTATTGAATGTTAACTGCCACGCTCTGAGAGTGGAGATAGCCGCCATTTTGAACATGGGACCCATGAAGTGGGAGGGGTTAACAGAACAAGGAAGAACGTTCGATGCGCTGTCCAGGAAGAGTGGAACTCAGATGAACTAGACCAATCGTAGCCCTGGAGGGTGGAGCATGGATCTTACTAACGGTTTAAAAGTTGATCGGACCACCGAACCAGCACCCATGTGCTACAAAAGTGCATTGTGCCTGCTTCTCTTGCTTCGCTCACTCACTGTAGCAGTTTTTTGTTTCAGATTTTTCTCACATGACTAAAATGCACCTGGAGTTTTCCTGGTGCATCAGGACAACCACCTACAATTTGAAATTGTAAGGATATTTTTTTCCCAAGGGAAAGAATATCTATGATGTTGGATTATAACTAATTGTGTAACTGCCCCTCACCTGCCTACTCGCCGCTCTGGAGCCCATCCATTCTTATTTCTTGTAGGCCCCCACAGCACCCTGTAGAATGTAAGCTGCCTGAGAGCAGGGGATGCTTCATTTTGCTTCCATTTCTCCAATGCTTAGCATAGGGTTTGGCACACATTAGATACTCAATAGGGCAGCTAGGTGACACCATAGTGCACAGAGCACCAGGCCTGAAGTTAGAGAGACTCATCTTGAGTTCAAATCTGACCTCAGACACTTATTAGCTGTGTGTCCCTGGGCAAGTCATTTATCCCTGTTTGCCTCAGTTTCTTCACGTGTAAAATGAACTGGAGAAGGAAATGACAAACTACTTCAGTCTTTGTCCAAAAAGCCCTAGATGAAGTCACAAAGAGTCAGATATAACTGAAACAACAGAATAGTAACATCACCACCAAAAGGCACTTTATAAACACTTCTTGAAGCAAACTGAGATGTTTCCAATTCCAAGGAGAGTGTCCTTTGGCTAGACAGCACTAGGACAGCAGTGCTCAAAGGGAGGGATGGAAGGACAGACAGCATGATTCCTGAGTTATGGAGGGAAGTGGACATTCACAGAGAGCTGGGAGGTCGCCATCCTCCGTCCACCAGGGGTTTCCTCCCCCCACTTCATCTCAGAGTCCCTTGATGTCATCCCCCCATCCCCTTTCCTCTTAGATGTGAGAAAGAGGTGGCCTCTCTCCGGGCCAAGGCCAAGGCCTCCACTCGCTGCCTTGATCTCCTCCCCTTTTTTTCCTCCAGAAAACTGGAGCCTCAGTCACGTGGTCACAGAGAGCGAGCCCTTTCGTCTACCTCCCACCTTCCTCATTGCCTTCTGCCATCCCTCCATTCACCCTGGCTCACAATGTCAGTGTTTTCCTTCTTCCTCACTCCAGATCTTTCTAACCAGCCGCCATCTTGTCAATCCCACCTCCACGACAGGCCTCATGTGTGTACCCTTCTCTCCACCCACATAGCCACCCTTGGCTCAGGCCTCCTACATGGCTCCCCTTCTCCCATTGTCTCCCCTTTGGAAACCATTCTTTGTACATGGCTGCCCCAACCCCGGGGTGTGGCCGGGCCACTCTCTCACTCAAAATTAAGTCCTTTATTTGGCATTTAAACTGTTTCACAGCCTGCCTCTGGCCCACATTTCCATGGTTACCAGCGGTTTCTCCCTCATATGCTCTATGCTCCAGCCCGAAGAGTCTACAATCTCTCATCTCCATGTCTTTGCCCAAGCTGTCCTACGTCCCTAGAAAGTGCACCTTCCTCAGTTCCACCTCATGAAATCACTCACTTTTTTTAAGGCTCAGTTCAAGTGATACCTCCCAGGAGGCCCATATATACACACATACAAACACACTGTTAGTACCCCACAATTACTTTGAATTTACAGATTTATGCAGATATCTATTGTCTCCCCCACCCTCTTCCCCCCCCCAAGAGAAAGTAAACTACTAAAAGTCATTTTGTTTTTTGAAACCTTGGTGTTGCGGAGGTGACTTAGCAGATGCTTATTAAGTCAATCAATCAATCAATCAATCAATCAATGAAAACCAGGAGTTTCCCTGTGGCCTGCATCCTCTGGGTGGATATTGGAGGGGAGGGATAGGCAGCTTCCAGAGCTCTCATCTACCTCAGGGTCACTGTCTCCTCCCTCACCCTACCCCTCCCCTGCCAACGACCCAGGATTTAGCCTGTGGTTCTCGTCCCAGGTGCAAAAATTCCTAGGGACAGTCATGGCAGAAGGGCCTTGCAGTATCACACCTCAAGTCTGACTTCTTCATCTTATGGGTGAGGACGCTTTGGCCCAGAGACGGGAGGGGATTGGCCCATGGTAAGTGTCAGCAGCCACCACTGGAACAGGAGCCTCAGTCTCACCCCCTCCCTCCCGGTTCCAGGCCAGGCTCTCTCCCTTGTACGATGCTGCCTCCAGCGCATCCCGTTTCCCACCTCCAGACCCCTAAGCAGGACAGGTGCTGCCACCAGCCCTACATTCTTCTCGCAGCACAGCAATGGGAATGACGCCCCTGCCAGCTAAGTGACAAACCCAACGTTGGTTCATTTGTATTCTGTGATTCCATGGATTAAATTGCTGTTAAAAAAAATCACTGGCATTTTCATTTCACTCTTTTAAAAATATATTTAATGGCTATAACATGATAGCTGTGAAATAAACCCTTCTGTTAGATATGATAGCCGTGAAATATGGCTTTTTAACTTGTTGGCGGTACGATTTTTGCTGCAGTCATTCAATCACAGAATGACTGAAATATTAAAGATCGTCCTCAATGTGAAAATGAGAGGAAGAGATGGGGAAAGCCTGTGACCTTGGTACATTGTAACCAGTGAGATTTCCATGTCCAAGGTCATCGAAGTACCCTGCCCTTGACCTTGACGCTCCCTCTAGCTCAGCTGTCCCCCTCTCTCTGAAGTAGGACTATGTGAAAGAGCCTGTGGGGGGAGACCTGCTCAGACCAGGAGAAGACCCCTCAGAAATGTTTCTGGGAATGGATTGGACTGGACTCTGGGCCTGGCTTTCACCACAGCCCAGGGCTCCTGGGAAAAAACATGTCTAGGTTGGGCCAAGCTTTCTTACCCATATCCCTGCCCTCTGTGTCCTGGAGGCAATGATCCTGGACACTTGTGAATACAGCAAAGATGAGGAAGGGAGAGTCGGAGGGGCTTGGGCAGCTGGGGTGGCCGCAGAGGCTGGTGAGACCGCAGGGGTGGCCGCAGAGGCTGGTGAGCCTGATGTGCCCCAGGAGGTTGGGGAGCTTTTGACTGCACTGCTTGGCTGAGTCGGCTCCATGAAGTCTGTCCTCTTCCCTACATGTCTTTTGCTCTGCTCTAGGTTCTGGTTCAGACGCCTGGGCTTCTATGTAGGTTAGAACTCTAGGGCTGTCACAGAAGAAGAAAACTTAGCAGAATGGGGGAGCTGGGACTCTTAGTGTTCCCTGGTGTTTGCAATCGAGGGTTCCCTAGGCGAGTGGGAAAGGGCCAGGTTCTGCCTGCCTGGGCAGGACTGGACAGGAACCAGGCAACGGCACAGCTAAAATAAACATGCTGGTCTAAGGCTGAGCCCGGTCCCCCACCCCCTCCTCCCCACCTGTCCACCGTCATCCTGCTCAGCCCCATTCCTCCACGAAACCCTCTGACTCAGCTCTGATCCTCTATCCTCCTCCCAAAAGCAGTTGTTCCCAACCTTCTCTTTTCTCTTCAAGCCCCCAGCTCCCTCCTTTGTCTCAGTAGATGACCTCAATTCCTAGGGCGCTGAGAATAGGAAAGTCATCAGAGTGAAGGACCCCATTTCCTCCCTCCCTAACCTCTCAAGGTCTTCACCCAAGATTCCCTCCTTTGTCCCAGCACAGGGGGAGAGGTAGCAGCCTTTCTCCCCAAGCCAAGACTCAACCCTCGCCATATGCCCTTGATCCCACAGTTACACAAAATTGTTTGTATAGAGCTTTAAAACTGGCAGAGTGCATTACATACATTACCTCATGTTAATCTCATACCTTGTGGGGCAGGTTTTATAGGTATTGTTATCGCTACATTACAGGTGAGGAAACACACTTAGAAATTTGAGTGGCTTGTCCATGGTAACATAGCTAGTGATGGAGGTAGGATGTCAGGCCCGGTTTTCCCGTGGGGCTATGCTTCAGGCAGCTGGGTGGTACAGTGGATAGAGCACCAAGCCTGAGTCAGGAAGACTCATCTGGCCTCAGACACTTACTAGCTGTGTGACCCTGGGTAAATCACTTAACCTAGTTTGCCTTAGTTTCTCATCTGCAAAATGAGTTGGAAAAAGAAATGGCAAACCACTCCAATAACTTTGCCAAGAAAACCCCAAATGGAAGGGGGCAGCTAGGTGGCGAAGTGGATAGAGCACTGGCCCTGAAGTCAGGAGGATCTGAGTTCAAATCCGGCCTCAGACCAAGCACTTGACACGTACTAGCTGTGTGACCTTGGGCAAGTCAATTAATGCCGATTGCCTCACCAAAAAAGAAAAAAGAAAAAAAAAGAAAACCCCAAATTGGGTCACATAGAGTTGGACACAACTGAAAAATGACTGAAAAACACACTTCTAATACTATCGCTCTTAGGACCCTACCACCTTTGTGCTTCCCATTAACAAGCACCTAGTAGACTTAAATAACTTTTTGCAAAGGCATTTAGTTACTCAGATAGTAGAGTAAGAACAGTGGGTACAAAGCCTTCTCCCCAGCCCTCCCTGCTCTTCCACAAGGACACTGGGAAGAGGCAGCTTACACTTTGTGTACAGCTAAGTGAGGCAGACACCTCCAACTCCCTGATGACATGGTCAAGGGAAGGGAAGGTGGAGAAAATTACCTCTCCCTCCACTGCTCCTCCTAAATAATTCTCTCTCAGAGGGCTGGTTTTTCCTCCACTTTTGGTTCCAAGTCCTGAACCTGGGACGTCCTCTGCTGGATTAGGGAATTGCTGTAATTCCTACAGCTATTTAAATCCCCTAGAGATTTGTCCAACACACCTTCTCAGCCAATTGCTCCAGCTCCATTTTTGACCCAAAGAAGAGATTCTACCTGCAAAAGGTATCCAGGAGTAAAGAATCTTGTTTACACATCTAAAAAGCTAACCGTATTGTGAGGTTATAAGAAAACAACACTTTAGGGTTATATTCTGGGTACAGCGATTCTAACTCGTTGAGGGGGATGAGGGGGAGAAATCCTCTCCCTTACATAAACACAGACAAAATCAAGACAGACTTAACCTAGTTATTCCTTTTGGCAGATGACATGATGGTGTAGCTGAAAAATTCCAGAGAATCATCAATGAAACTGATGGAGATGATTAATAGTTTCAGTAAAGTAGCTAGTGACAAGGCAAATCCACAAGAATCATCAGCATTTCTATATAGTACTAACACAAACCAGGAACCAAATGATGAATAGACCTGGTCAGCTCTCAGATATCATATGCATTGTGTAGTTATGTTGAAACCAGTATACCAACAGTCACACAAGATTTATATAAATGCAGCTACAGCAATATGTTTATAGACATAAAGAAAGGTTCAAATAAATGGAAAGAAATTCAATATTCATCACTAGGCTATGCTAATAAAATAAATATATGATATATTATTTATAATGTGACATCATATATAATATAACCATATGTATAATATATTATATAATATAGCTATATTGATAATATTATATAGTATCTATATATTATTTATATTTATTCTATATTTAGAAAATATAATATATAAATATTATAAATGCCTGAATATATAAATATATAAACAATCTATTATTATAGCATATTGCTATATCATATAATATTGATATAATATATTGATATTGAGGTGTAATATATTAATGTGATGGGTTCTATATTAATATGTCATATTATATAATATATAACAATAATATCTACAACATAATATATTGTTTATATTATATCTAATACACGTATCATATTGTATAATAACATTTTATATATATCATATTATAGAATAACATGTTATCTATAATAATATATATAATAACATAGAAATATAATATACATAATAAAATTATACTAGTTACATCAATGCATACATTTAGTTCTATTCTAATCAAATTACAAATGTTGAGAGCCCCTTTGAATAGTTCATCATTGCGGTGGAATTCAGAGGGCAGACTCTGTGATGGTCGGTTTATTCCTTTTCTCTTTCTTGGGATCTTTCTTTTTGGTCCTGGTGTGGAATGTCTGTTGTGTTTTCCAGGGGGCCTTTCTTTGGTGACTTTCTGATGTTGTTTTAACACCCCAGGACTACCAGCAGCTCCTCTTTGTTTCTCCACTTTTGAATTGAGTAATCCTCTTAAGAAGAATATGAAAGGAGTCATAATTATAAGTCTGGTTGAAAATGAAGCCCATGGGAATGGAAAATACAAGTCAAGTTTCTAGCTCCTTAAAACCAAACATTTGGTCAGTTGGAAAAGTCTGTGACTGCGGTGAGAGAAGGAGCTAGGTCTCAGCCACAAGTCCCGAGCGTGGTCTCTGGGGCAGTGGCTGCCTCCTGAGCTCACAGCCCACAGACTGAGGGGGAATCGAGTGGCTGATCAGAGGGGGATTGCAGGGATCTCTTTGCCAGTGCTGAGGCAGGAATCTCTTGCTGTGCCCATGCTTGGATCTGGGTCACAGTTCTGAGGGGCGGTCCTGGGGTGAGGAGGAGCGTGGCATGGTGGAGCTTGTTGTGGCGGTGGAGAGGAAACACCTCGCCCCTTATCATACCACCTTGGAAGAACTGACATTTTTCAGGTCCCTAGAAGTATCTCTGAAAACAGCTGTACAAACCCCCGAAGCTTGGGACAGTACATTCTACACATTGGAAACAGACTTTTACCTTAACAAAGAGTTTAAAACTCAAGTAATTGGCTGGGATCATGAGTAAGCAGCGCAAAAAGAATCAGACTATATTATCTTACTTTGGTGACAAAGAAGATCAAAACATACAACCAGAAGAAGACAACAAAGCCAAAGCTCCTACATCCAAAGCCTCCAAGAAGAATATGAAACAGTCCCAGGCCTTGGAAGATCTCAAAAGGGATTTTGAGAAGCAAGTAAGAGAAGTGGAGGAAAAACTAAGAGTTTTGCAAGAAAATCATGAAAAACAAATCAACAGCTTGCTAAAGGAGACCCAAAAAAATGCTGAAAAAATAACACCTTAAAAAATAGCCTAACCCAAATGGCAAAAGAGGTCCAAAAAGCCAATGAGGAGAAGAATGCCCTAAAAAGCAAAATTGGACAAATGGAAAAGGAAGTCCAAAAGATTACTAAAGAAAATACTTCCTTAAAAATTAGAATAGAGCACTTGGAAGCTAGTGACTTTATGAGAAATCAAGACACTGTAAAACAAATCCAAAAGAATGAAAAATTAGAAAACAATGTGAAAAATCTCATTGGAAAAACAACTGACCTGGAAAATAAATCCAGGAGAGAGAATTTAAAAATTATTGGACTATCTGAAAGCCATGATCAAAAAAAGAGCCTAGACATCATCTTTCAAGAAATTATCCAGGAAAACTGCCCTGATATTTTAGAACCAGAGGGCAAAATAGAAATTGAAAGAATCCACCGATCTCCTCCTGAAAGAGATCCCCAAAGGAAAACTCCTAGGAATATTGTAGCCAAATTCCAGAGTTCCCAGGTCAAGGAGAAAATATTACAAGCAGCCAGAAAGAAACAATTCAAGTATTGTGGAAACACAATCAGGATAACACAAGATTTAGCTGCTTCTATATTAAGGGACCACAGGGCATGGAATATAATATTCTGGAGGGCAAAGGAGATAGGATTACAAGCAAGAATCACTACTCAGCAAAACTGAGTATAATCCTGCAGGGGAAAAAATAGCCATTCAGTGAAATAGAGGACTTTCAAGCATTCTTGATGAAAAGACCAGAGTTGAATAGAAAATTTGATTTTCAAATACAAGACTCAAGTGCAACATGAAGAGGTAAACAGGAAAGAGAAAATCATAAGAGGATTATTATGGTTGAACTGTTTACATTCCTGCATGGAAAGATGATATTTATAACTCATGAGACCTTTGTCAGTATTAGGGTAGTTGGAGGGGAAAAAATTATATGTATGTATATATAGATATAGATAGATAGATAGATAGATAGATAGATAGATAGATAGATAGATAGATAGATAGATAGAGAGATAGAGGGCACAGGGTGAGTTGAAAATGAAGGGGTCATATCTGGAGAATAAAATTAAGGGGTGAGAGAGGATTATACTAGGAGAAGGAGAAAGGAAGAGGTAGAATGGGGTAAATTATCTCACAAAAAAAAAGAAAAGAAAAGGCTCTTACAGTGGAGGGGAAATGGGGGAAGGTGAGATGGAAAGAGTGAATCTTATTCTCATAGAATTTGACTTAAGGAAGGAATAACATACACACT